GACACGTATATTGTGTTATAAGAACGTTTTGTTTAAGATTTATTGAGCCGCGAAGTTCGAATCTGCCAATATCTTTCCAACTTTACCGATCTGATAGATCAGACATTGTACGAGAAACCGGCCGGTTCTTTAACGGGAATTGAAAGTGACAGCAGTACTTTACCATTCCGCATGTACCATTTGATTCGCTTAGGGGGACACTGATAAGCTGAAGCGCTTCCCTGTGCTCGGCGATGGACGGACTCCACTGAAGCAATTGGTCTTTATACAGATAAGCATAAAACAAACAAGCAAGGGGGTTATATGTGTTGCCCAGCGACAGCCCCAAAACATCGCAGCTCTAGAGAAGATCTGCATGGAAGAATGGGCCAAAATACCAGCTACAGTGCCTGCAAACCTGGTGAAGACCTACAGGAAACATTTGACCTCTGTCATTCCCAACCAAGGTTACATTACAAAGTATTGCGGTGAACTTTTGTTATTGACCAAATACTTATTTTCTGCACCATTATACAAATAAATACTTTAAAAATCATACAATGTGATTTCCTGGATTTTTTTTTTTTTACATTCTGTCTCTCACAGTTGAAGTGTACCTATGATGAAAATTACAGACCTCTCTCATCTTTTTAAGTGGGACAACTTGCACAATCAGTAGCTGCCAAATACTTTTTTTGCCCCACTGTACATAATAGAGGCACTTTATACATTCATGTGGGCAAACTGGGTAGTTTTCACACATCTCATCCTGAGAGACATGTATGTATATACAGACAGGCATATATACACAGGGAAGAGCAAACTTTGGGGTCAGAACACAGAGGCGGCCAGCATCCCAAGAGCAGGGATTACTCTGCAAACCACAGGATTTGAACCCACAGCCTTCTGGACACAGACACAGAGCTTTAACCTGCTGAACTACACACTACTCTATATATCTGTTATCATGTACATCTTCTTACCGGGGCTGAAGCCCAGGGGCATCTGCTAAGAAGGAGCTTCAACTAAATTGTTTAATAAAATCTAAAACCCAGAGTTGCCACCTGTCCCGTATTTTACAGGATCTTCTTGTATTGAGAAATAAAACACGGGGTCCCATTTGGAACCAATATCGGATGCAGTTTATCGTGCTCAATTCATTTTAACCCAGACTGCGCAACTGATCCCCTGAACTGACACAAATTTTATCATCGGGGCCCCTGTAAAACTCGATGAGCCCCGGGGCCCCTGTAAAACTCGATGAGCCCCGGGGCCCCTGTAAAACTCGATGAGACCCGGGGCCCCTGTAAAACTCGATGAGCCCCAGGGCCCCTGTAAAACTCGATGAGCCCCGGGGCCCCTGTAAAACCCGATGAGCCCCGGGGCCCCTGGCCGAGTTAAAGCACCTCTGCCTGCAGCCCTGTACTGCATAAGCCCAGATGAGGAGTCACCCATTCATTGAAATTCATGCCCTTCTGTTTGCATGCACTCTCTGTGTTTTTCTGGGCGGCCATCAGGTACTTCTGCTTCTTCCCACAGATCGAGTTAGGGGACCGACCTTCTCTAGATCAAGAGTGTCACTGTGTGCCCTGTGATGGACTGGTGTTTGTATGTGGCATTGATATGTTTTATCTCCATAACATTTCTCGTATCTTTTAAACGTGTCCTATAAAATACTGCCAAATACTTTTTTACCCCACTGTGCATGTTGCATGTTGCCTTGGGCCCAACTTTCCTGTTAACCTGTATTGTTTGGAAGATGTGTGTATGGTCATGTATGTATTTCAGTCTCTTCTACAATTTGCTGATTTTTTTGCACATTAAAGCTGTTACTTCACCAATAAAATGATGAGTTTCAGTTGCAGTGTTTTTGTGACTGTTTCA